CCACACAAGTTGAGACTCCCGTTTTCAAGGTCCAAACCAGTCTCGAATTTTGCATCCACATTTTTTTCCCCTTCATTCATCTACCTTTATTTATTTTTATTTGAGTGGTTGTTGGTTTGGGTTCGGTTGGATATATATTTATTTCGTATATTAGGTTTCTCAGAAATTTAATTTCGTGTTCTTGCATCTCTAAAGAAAGAATTAAACTTTTTCTTTTCTGTAACAAAAACTTTTTATATCCAATCATGCTCTAAATAACAACTAACAGCTATTACTAATGAGAGCCGAACTCAAATGCATTGCTTTTCTCATAACTCTGGAAATAAACAGAAGATATCAACAGACAAACAAATCCCCAAACCAAACCAACAATCCAAATAAACTCACACCCAACTTGCATTTACAGCCTAAAGAAGAAAATGGAACCATAAGCCATACTAAACTTCATCACACTTCCATTTCGAGGTGGGAACACAGCTCGCATACCGGCACCAATGGCAACGCTCATATCCATTTACTCCCCTAAACAGCAACACTAGCCCCACAACAAACCTGCATTATTCCAAGAGGTATGTATATTTTCTCATTATATCTTTGTCCTCTCATATGATTAAAACTATTAAATTAACAATAATTATTCATAAGAGCAAAGGAAAAAGAACTCACCCAACAAAAAGTAGTACAAGAGAAACCAGCCACAGCACATACTGGTAAGCCTTGTATTTGGACCTCGCACGATTACCAGCCGGAAGATTGTGTCTTTCTACCCACCCAAACTGGGGACGAGGCAGTAAAATAAACCCGAGAAGAAATCCGGTCAGAAATCCTCCAATATGGGCAAAATTGTCCACATGGGGCAAAATACCAACGACCAAGTTAATCGCGACTATCACCAATAGTGTCAATAGTGCAGCAACCTGCAAAGTTCATACGCAACATGGAAAGCTTTACAAAATAGAATTAAGAGAGTATAGAATAGATTGTTTTTTATGATTATTAAATAACAGAGAATATATTAGTTATAATAATAAACCCACCTTGTTTGTATATATGGACCAGTTCGTAATTAACTCGGACAGCATGGCACCGAGAAGCCCGAATAGTGCACCCGAAGCACCGACAGATATCCTGTTTCGTATGAATAAGGAGGATAATACACTCCCACCAAATCCGGATAACAGGTAGATTATGCCGATACGCACTGTCAAGACAAATCAGAAAATTGATAAATATGGAACAAGAGAAACACATTTTGAAAACACCAGTTTAAATGGAGTTTTCCTATAGCACTTACCAAATCCAAAATGCTGCTCGAGGCGAATGCCTATGAAGACAAGGCTCAGCATATTTGCAAGCAAGTGAATGATGCCAGCATGCAACCAAATACACGAAATGAGCCTCCATCCTTGATGATGATGGACTACTTTATTCCAATTAAGGCCACCTAATCTCTCTAATCTTCAGTGGATAAAAGAAAAGGTTTCAGATCAATAAATAGCACTAAAGAACATAGGACTAAGATAAGTTAGGTTGAGTCATTATTGTCAAAATGTTCCAGTTAGGCGCTCAAGTCTCGGGCTTTTCTGTTATTTCCAGTCAACTTGATAGTTAATACACAAGTAATTATCCGGTAAGATGTTGACAGCAGACAATAACAAATTACCAACACCCGAAAAAAAATTTTCCCATGTAATCTCATAAGATATTGTTCTAGGCAAACACAAGAATTCAACGTTTGTAACTAGGACCACACGTTGAAAAGAAAACAAAGGTGCCATAAAAGACACAGTATTTTAACATATGAAATACCCGCTTAGGCGTACATGGTATAGGCATATAGACGAAAATTCAGCAATCCCCAACTTATAGCAAACGCTTAAACAATCCCCTCACACAATCCTATCAAACCCACTTAACATCACAGAAGATAAACAAAGAAAAGTCGCATCTTTACGCAACCAAACCAAAAACTCAGTCTTTAACATCCTTTAAAANAGGGCTACTAAAGAAGCAAAATTCACTCACGTTGAAGACGAAGGCCCGAACAGAGGATTTTCCCTCAAGGGTTGGAAAGAAAACCTCCCGAGAAACCTCGCCACACACCTATCGCCGTAATCCCCGAACCTCGAACCGCTCCTTCTACTGACATGCTTCGGGCAGTTGTTGAGATACATCTCGATCACAAACACCACAATATTAGCCACCACGAACAGCGGGATCAGCCACGACACCCAATTTCTCTCCCCATTCTCGGACGCGTACGACCTATTTCCACCCTTATGTGCCCTGCTCTCAATATCTTGCCCCGGCATGCCTGAAAAAGAAACCCTTTTCCGCTAACCGATTTCTTCCGTAATTTTGCTCTATGAATGCGATTCGCTCCTGAATTTTCTCGAATTTATTGATGGCGAAAGGAAATTCATTAACAGGGGATCGTGTGGAGTGGGGTTGTTAATGGGGTAAGGACGTGCGTTGAGGTTCTCGTCGCAGGGAGGATAGAACAGGGGCGGGGACGTTTAGCCGTGTTCGAGATTGTGATCGGGTGTGGCCGGGTATAACGATTGGGGACGTGCATGACCGCCACGTGTTCCAGGGTGAGGATGTATATTAACGTGGGAGATGGCTATTTGGTGATCCATGATAAGACCGTGGGGTGCGAAAGAGGAGATGTTGGTCTCAGTGGGAACATTACTTTTGGGACGAGCACCAACCGCTTTCCCCAAGCTGTTGTGCCTGGACTTGGCCGGGTTAGTGGGTCTTGAACCGGCCCTATCATAAACAGGCCCGATTCCAAGAATTGCCAATTTCGGGTGAAGACAATTGTTATTTGGCTCGCAATGTAAATCTATTCAAACTTTATGGACCTAAATTGCAGTTCTTTAAAAGGTGCAACTTATTTATAATGTCACTAATTATGTTATAGCAAACTTAAAATAATTTTCAGTTGATACATAAAGAGAATAAGTCGACGTGAGAGTTGCTTTTTTTGCAAAACGAATACGTCTCATAATGTGCTGACGAATTCAGGTGCGTGCTCGAACCGCAGCAGACAAAATGCGTTGAAGTCAGAATCTACACTTGGTTCATAATTTTAATTATTAGTGTGATATTTAATTTTGTAATTATAACAAAGAGAGATTCAAAAAATACACTAGATGTAATTATTATGCGTGTGTGATTTGCCTTCCACAAACATAGCACTAGACCGAACTCTCATTTTTAATGTGGTACTATTTATCGCCTCCCATTTTACTACGCACCGGCCCCCTTAGACAATTTTGCCCCTGATAATTTTTTTCAAAAAGTAAAAAAAAAAACTGTCCGGCAGGCGAAATCGAACGGCTTTTAGCCCGTCCGACCGCCGGAACCGGACGGTTCAAAAGGCGTCCGGCCGGCCGGTTCGGACGGCTTAAAAGTCGTCCGATTTCGCCGGCCGGACAATTTTTTTTTTTTTTATAAATTATTATGTTATATATTCGAAATAATTATGTTATAAATTAGACGTTAGATAAATTGGACGTTCGAAATAATTATCTTTTTTAATACATTATAATAATAATTATAATAATTATAAATTATAATAATTATAATAATAATTTGTTATAATAATTATAATAACAATTATAAATTATAATAATAATAATTATTAAAATAAAAATGAATTTATAATATATTTTAATAGTTATTACAATAGTTATTACATATGGAAAAATTTAATAATTATATTTCTGATAATATCTAACGTCCAATTAATAGCATAATGAAGTCTAACATGCAACATAATCATTTCTAACTCCTAACACGATAATATCTAACATCCAATTTATAACATAATTATTTTGAATATATAACATAATAATTTATAAAAAAAATAAAAAAAAATTGTCCGACCGGCTGAACCGGACGGACCGGTTTCGACCGGCCGTCGTCGCCAGACGGCTTTTAAGGCGTCCGGCCGGCCGGTTTGGACATAGCCCGTCCGACCGGACGAACTTTTCGGACGACTTTTATGTCGTCCGAACCGGCCGGTCGAACGTCTTTTGAACCGTCCGGTTCCGGCGGTCGGACAGGCTAAAAGCCGTCCGGTTTCGCCGGCCGGACAATTTATTTATTTTTTTTTTTTTACTTTTTGGAAAAAAATGACAGGGGCAAAATTGTCCAAGGGAAGTCGGTAAGTAGTAACAGGGGACGGTGAATAGTAAATCAGCATTTTTATCTCTAGGCACATAGTTATTGAATTTGTTATTTCCATTAAAATTCCTTTTTTATCACCAAGTTTCTTAAAAGTTTGAAGCTTTGGTTTGTGAGAATTTTCAACAACTAAAACTTTGTCTTGGAAAGCTAGTTTCTCAAGTTTTTTAGAAGAACGATGTCTATCTTCAATATTTAAAGCAATTAGTAACTCTTCAAGTGACATAGTTTCAGGTTTATGCTGAAGACCTCCAGCTGCAAAATAAGTCAAAGAAGACAGTAATTTTTCAGTCAAAGACGAAACATATATTGCCTCACTTTGTCCAATCCCTTTTGCTTTCATATCATAAATAAGATTCTCAAACTCAATCTATTCATCTTAAATAAGATTCTCAAACTCAATCAATTCATCTGTAGAATTTCTACTATCCTCCATTTGTAAATATAACTAATCATCAATAGTGACAAGTTTGAAACCATTTTCCGCAGTACCGTTACGATGATCAAGAGTAGGCCATAACTCTAAGGCATTTTTTGTATGTGAAAAAATGAGATAAATATTATTGGATAAAGATTAAAATTCTACCATGAGCAGTAATATCATTATAACCAAGATCACTACTACTGGAATTTCTACCCTTATCAATAAGAGCATTTTGTATTACTACAAAAAGACCTAGTTCAGTCAATCGAAATTTCGTTTGTTGTTGGCAACATAAAAAATAAATTTCCATCAAAATTTTCGGGTTTATTAGACAATGAATTAAGAAAATCCATACTGAGCACAAAATAAAATAAATCTTAAATTAATAAAAATAAATGTTTTCTTCTCTAAAATTGTTTAAAAAATTAAGCCTAAAAAATGAGAAATATTTCTAGTAATTTAGGAGAAAATAAGTTTAATAACAAACAATTAACCAAAGGTAAATAATAAGGAGTTGGGTTTAGAAGAGCTTGGGTCGAAGCACGCCGTAGCATTCTCTTTAGAGAAGAAGCGTCCCCACTGTACTGGTAGAAATAATGTTAATAACACGTTATTATATCAAGATATGATATGACAACTAGACGGTTCTCTTATGCAACAAAGAAAACCTGGACTATACAATACTCGTGCTCAAAATATAAGATAATTATGTATATATTTTACTACAGTTGGGAGGAAATTTAATTATAGAACAAAAATTGGAAGAGATCAATAATCAGATTTTTTTTAAAATGGTCATGATTATGGTTCTCTAATTTATAGGTGTACCGTTAGAAATTGCATCTAATTTTGCAGCAATAAAAATTGTTACGTTGAGCACGACGCTAGAGGTGTCTCTCACTTACTACTCTAATTGGTGCTAGCCTCTTGTACTAAAAAATAAAGAAATAAATAAAAATGTTGAGGGCAATTAAGAAATTCTTGAAACTCTCTTTTTTTTTTTTTATTTATATTTATATCAAAGAAAATTATTGCTACCAATATTTCTTTTAAAAAATCAGAAATTATCTAACAGTATTTATTAAAGAAAAAAATGTTGATGAACTTTGACAAAGATCAAATTTTTTTCCATCATCTCAAAGCAACCAAATGAGCACCGCGGCGTTCTCTCTACACCCCTCAATTCTGTTCAAATTTCGTGCCAAACACAGCTTCTCATGGAAATTCACCCTCAACAAGCATTCATCTTCACTCGCCAAAATTTGCTGCTCGCGGAACAACACGCCCCAACAACAGCTTAACCTGTCCGTCCTTCGATTCACTCTAGGTACAGATTCTTCTTCACTTAAGCGTGTCCTGGTGCAGTTATTGCAGCAATTTCATTTGCCGATTTATTTCTGTCTCGTGGCGTTAGGGATACCTGGATTGGACGAATCTTATTTGCCCAGATACATTGGTTATGCATTTGGGTCGCTTTTAGTGTTGAATCATTTTGTGGGCTCGGATTATTCATCCACTACTGCAGCTCAGCTGGTAAATGTTTTTCTTTCTTCCTTTCCCCCTTTTTCGGGTTCTTGCTCAAACTGGGGTTTCTTAAAGCATGGAATGTGCTATTTCAGATAATGTTAATGGCTGTGTTTTCTTATACTTTATAGAGAACGGAGGCATTGGGACTTTCTTTGGCCGCATTCGCTGCCGTTGTTCCATATCTGGGAAAGTTCCTCAAGGTAGTAAATTTTTAACCCTACTTGGGCTTTTCGAAGCAAAATGAGGTTTTCATGTGATTGTGGTCGGGAATGTATTTCAATTTGCAAATATCTGAAAACTAGCTGCAGAGGAGTTGCAATAATTTTCCGATCCCCTGTTTGATATGTGCTGATTGTTGGGAAATGCTGTGCATGTATAAGCTGTTAATAGGATTGTTCACGGACTGCCCAAAATATCCTACTTGTTGCAAAGAGGATTAGTTGTTCTTAGTTAAAAGTTTTTCAGCACATCACTTCTGAAGAATAGTACTTATATTTAGTAAATTCATTTAACAAATGTTTAAACTTTATGTATCAAATTTTGTTGTTGCTGTGACTTAAATGAGTTGGACTTCCATACAGATGCTGAAATAGATAAAGAATTTTTGTGTGAGAAATAAAGCGATGTAAAATTCTTACCTGGCTGTACAGGGAACCGCTCCAACTGACCAGAAAATCATCCCAGAAGGAGCTGAGCAAATTTTTATAATGTCAGAGGATTTGAATGATGACAAGAAGGAAGATTTGGCTTGGGGAACATATGCTCTTTTACGTAATACAAACTCAATATCAGTGGTGTGCAGCCAACCTAAGCCCTAATGACTGGCACATAATATATGAAATGCATGCCTTTTTGTTTTTTCATTTTTCTTTGTAAGTTTACTAACGATTTAAAGGTTTTAGCTCATCTCAGTTCCGGATGCCTTGTGTGTGCGTGGCTATTGGAATACACCAAAAGATTTGTCCAAAGAAAATGTTCTCAATTGGTTCGAAAAGAAGATTCAAGAAATAGGTTTCTCCAATTTGAAGGATACCGTGTATTTCCAACAGGCTGCAGGTATAAGTTTAACTTTCTTGCTAATGCAAATATTATTAGTGGTCTAATTGTTGTCTGAACTTGTGTTAGATATCTAAGGAAATTAGGGAAGGAAGATAAGTGGGTTGTGGGCATCTTTATCCTTTCCAGTGTTGAATACAATATGCTTGATCATGAATCATCACTGGGCAACCTTAGTGCTTGATTGCAATAATAGTGCGGAAGATAATATTGTCTCCTCACTCTAAATTGTTTTCACTGAAGACGTTGTATATAGACTTGATTAATAACTTTTGATGATAAGTGAATGGTAATGTTATACATGTATTATGTGAAATATAGGCGTTAGCAAGGTCCTTATGTTTCTCTCATGGTATTTTTCATGGACTTTATTTGAAGTCATGATGATCACCTTTTCTCATTGTAAGTGTGAGTTGTGAGTGAGTAGCAATTCAGTTCCTGTAGTCCTTGTAAAGTTGTATTCTCATCTCGCTCCTGAATGACATTTGATTGGAAACTTTATTTAAACAAACCTGATTTTTCACCTTTAGTATCCGCTGTATGCGTAGTTACTGAAATAACTCTTCTTCATATTGTTTGAAAAGAAAAAAAAAAAAAAAATTGAGAAAGCACCTCTAATGTTTCTGGACATGGTAGATGACAGATTTACCTTACAAGCTAAAAGTATGTAAAGCTTTAAGCAGACTGGGAAGAGGATTTAATTTGAAGTTCCTCATTTGTTTAATTTTGTTATATTTGGGTATCTTGGTTTGACCTTTGCTCCTCAACCTCACGTGCATTTTATTATCAGCATCTTATATTATGGCTTATTATTCCCTTATGAAAATAGTTCAGAAGAATTTTATCTCAGAGTCATGTCAATTGACTACATTTTTNNNNTTTTTGGGTGATTTTGATTCGTTTAAACTTATTTTCTCCACATGTTATATTGCAAAATGATATTTACTAGTCATTGACAAGCAGAATTACCTGAACTGAATACCTTCCATTATATTGTGGTTTCCTCTCAGTGAGGTGCCTTCCTTTTCCTGATTCGGTTTAGAATCTTCAGATAAAATGTCCTGATATGAACTTCCTCTTCACCTTTAGTTCACTGCTAAAGTAAGGGAAAGCATGAATACATATTGTTCTAATAATAGTCTGTTGTGCAGATTTTTATTCAGTTTGCTTCCACCTTCTACTTGATATGCCTTTTAGTTTGATACGTTAAATCGAGGAGAAATTCTATGACTAATTCATTTGTATTTTATTCTTAAAATTATTTTAGCCTTCCAAAAAAAATAAAAATAAAAATTACTATCTCAATATGATTTGCATTTGAGATATGCAACTTATGGAAATTTTTTGTTAGATTCTGAGTTGAAGGAGATGGTTCCAACCGGGATTCAGTCCTTCCTCGTGCAACCTATTCTGGATGCTTCAAGTCAAACGGTCAACAGCAAGGGTTTTGTCCTGTTGGCTTCAAGCATGGATTATGCATTTATTGATAAAGACAAAGCATGGATAGCTGCAATTGCCAACAAATTCTAGAGGTGGGCTTTCCTTGACTCTTGTAGATAATTATTCATCTCACTAAGTCATTGTCTATGCCTTCTATTGATTGACCTTTTTCCAATAGGATTTTACTTAGCTTTCGTGTTGCATATTTTCTGAACTTCTCATAATCGCATAAAAAATGTGGTCTTGGATTTATTAGATTTTTGTTTTTTATTGGTCGCGAATAATCATGATACATTTGGCTAAACAATCAAAACATCCTAAAGACGAAACAGGATATGAAATAATAATTGATGCATTTAGTAGTAAGGTTATTCTATATAATATTAGTGTAGCAATTGTGCCTTTTAGATGCATGGACCTTGAGACCCACCAAAAAGTAAAGGCTAGTTTTTCTCCGAAGAATAGAGGTTATGCCCTCTTTTTGTCTACTGAAAGATTTATGAAACAAACCGTAGGAATAATTACAATGGAAGCGCTCATAGGATTTAACCTCTTAAGGTGTTACAAGAGCCTCATTTATATTTTAAGCATCTAGAAGGTCCATCCGAGAGTGAAATTCTTAAAGCAAAACAAGAGCTAATGGAGCGCTCAGAATAGATTACGAGATTTTTTGTTTTGTTATTTTTTATTGACCTTAACTTGGTGGTTGTTTTCCCTTTTCCTTCAATTTTTTGTTAACTCTACACCTTGAACAGAATGTTAAAGTGCAAACCATTTTACTGGGAACAGATAGATGCACATCATCATTATAGGGTTAAACTGTTACATGATTTATTGAAGACCTCTAAATGTATCACTTATTTTTTCTGTCCCAAGGTCTCTCTACCTAGATTTTTCCCCTTGTGTTTTTGATTGAAAATGGGGGTATGCCCATCATAAACAGAAATCATAATTCAAGCGCAATACAAAGTTCATTGGTTAGCATGGCATCTACATTCTACACGAACTTCTCCAGACTGTACACCAGATTCTGCAAAAAAAGGACATTCTTTTTCAATAATGTTCAAGACAAAGTTCTAGAATAAATAGCGGGAAAGGGGATTGTTATTTTCCAGTTACCTTTAGACGCACAACTTTCCTGATGGCAAGAATTAGCCCTGGCATGAGCGATTGCACTCCTATGACATCATGTTTAAGGGTGTAAACCTGAAGAAACAAAAAAAAAAAAAAAAAGTNAAAAAAAAAAAAAAAGATTGAAATTAACTTTGGGGTTCGACATGTAGAATATCTCTACTGTGTGACTTAATTTATGGGACAGATTCGAATTGTTGGGGACAATCAAACTTCGCCTGGAAGTGAAAAATAAACTGCTGTGCTACTCCAGTTAACTGGAGTGCTATTTGCATGTGCATATTAGTCTGCAAATGCTATTCTGTAAATGGTATTGGTACACACCAAAATCTGCGTGGTGGGTGTAGGGTTTTGGGTTGTTATCTTGGGGCCCAAAAGAGTGCTTGAAAATTAAGGTCAGAGATTTGAACTTTCAAAGTTTATTTTAAGGGCCAAGATATACAGCCTGGTCCAGCTTTTAGGTGGGCCAAAATGGAGAGTTGACATGAACTTCATTTGTCACTTTTTTGATGGAAATGAAAAGGATGATTTCATCAGGTTTAGACTTTCTTGTTTTAAAACAGTGGTTTTGTTAGGTTTTAAGAACAAATCCTTTTTTGTTCTTGAAATTGTTGGATTAGAATGGTTGGTAAATCTGGACGATCAATTGCTTTAACAAAATAGGTTTATCAATACAGTTATGTATCTCCAGTTCTGTGCGCTAATTGTTCTAACCATATTCTTTCAATATATGTACATATTCTTAAATATTCGAATGTCATACTTTTAAATTTTATACTGTAAGTATACATTTGTGTCCAAGAAGTATGATTGCTCCAAATAGCAGCATTTGTAAAATTTGCGCATAAATTTTTATGCATAATTGTGATTGGATAAACTTTGTAAACAAAAAATTCCACTAGTTACGAGTTACGACTCCACGGAAACAATTCTGCAAAATAATATTATTTTTTCTATATACGTCTCTAAAAGAAATTATTATTACTATCATCTATATTTTACTAAATTATGTTAATTAATACATTAATTCCAATTATCACACATCTTTAGCATCAGAATATTTCCACCTGAATTTCGGAGCCTTTTTCTTTTACTCATGCAGTTTTGTTCATTTTTTGTCACCTTCACTTTTGTTCCTTTTCAAGCTTTTTTCCTCACATATCAGTACTATATAGTAAATAATACTATAATAGTCATTTCTTCTGTCGGCAAGACTAATATAAGTACTGTCGGTGCCTATAATATGAACATTATTTTCATCGGCTACATTAAATATGTGGCCCTGAAAAGTTCTTGTCGAGCCAAGTTTATTAAACAATAACAACATCAAAGTTGTACACAAAAATCGTACTGATTATATATTACTATAACTATTTTCTTTTTCTTGCTTATTTTACAATTCAATCTTATAGCTCTTAAGATCTTTGTCTGGTGCAATTGCAAATCCTAAAAGTATTTTAGATTTTATAGTCTAACTAACTAAACGAATGACATTGAGAGCTATGCTAAACTCAACTCATTTGAGTTATGCTCGACTCGAAATATCAAACTCATTAACGCGTCTAATTATCTACTAAGACGAGTAGATTCCTAACAGTTCATAAAATTCGTGCATGAATTGTACGGGCAATTAAGAGTACGAAATGACATAATTACCCCTACATTAGCTCTTTATTCAACCATCTCCGCATTGTTGTAGTGACAAGATGCTGAAATTGCAACTTGTTGATGGAGTATTGATCCAATTGAAAGAGTTGGTGCTACTAAACATCATAAACAATATCGTAACAAATTATTTAGAAAAAATAACAAATTATTGGTAAGAAGCAATAAAAAAAAAGAAATCATTATGTGAGGTAGCCTAACCATTAGCGGGTCGACTTGACGTACGTATTGCTTTTGATCAAAACATACTTGTTCTATAAAATTTCATATTTTTGTCTTTTAGACAGTGACATTAGTTGCTGTTGAAAATGTATGGTTGACTAATGTTTAACCTTGTAAGCAATAACATGTTTAAAATTGTAATCAATAAATAAATTTTGATTTTGAAAAATCTTACCCTGTGCTCACCAAGCTGGCTTTTTCACAAAATGCTGATAGTGCAGATACTGTCTCCATTTTGATTCTGGGCACGTAGACAACGGCTCCTCATTCCAAATGCTGTTGTCTGATTATTATTGTTTAATCAAGATTTAATTAATAAATCTTGGTTAAGATAATAAAATACTCAATAATTAAACCTGTTTGACATTGTCGTAAACTGTTGAAGGGTCGGTGAAGTCCACGACTACTGTAGTTGCTTTTGACTGCCAAAAAGATCTCATACAAATATTGTAAGTTTAGTCCTTTATTTTTGTTCAATTCATAATAATGATCATGTTGGGCTAAGCTCAAATTGAGTTGACATTTGACAAATTAACGTTTAATGTGTCTCTTATTTTATGTTTCCAATTCTACACTTGTTTTTAATTCTACATATATAGATATATGAATGAAAATTAAAAAGCACCTTAAAGGCCGGTTGATTGTTGAAGAAATCTGTTAGACCAGTTCCAGTCTTGCGCCACAATTGGATTTATCGCCAGAGTAATGTCCAAATTTACTCCAATACTGCGCTGGATTTCGGCATTACTCCAAAGTTGTGAACAGTGCATCACTGGATGTGGCGATGCACTGTAGATAACTCTACTTTTTTTCTTTATTTTATGTATTGTTATTGGTAATTTTTGTATAATTTATATTAGTAAATGTATTTTTTATGTTAAATAATTTGTGTAATGTATTTTGTATGCTAAACAAATTTTGTTCTTTTTATTTATTGATGTATTATAATTTTATTTTATAATTTTTTAATATTAAAATGATACCATATAAATAAAATTTATTTGAAATATAAGATTAAAATGTACATGTATAATATATTTTATATAAGATTAACATTTTATATAAGATTAAATATACCATAGTAATTAACATTTTATATAAGATTACATATACATATATATATATATATATATTTGAAATAAAAAATGAATAAAAAATAATATATTTGATGTAGAGTAAAATGTAGAGATGAGGGCTGGAGATGAATGTTCAAATCTACTCTAGAGTAGAGTAAAGTCCGCGCTAAAGTAGAGATAAGGGCTGGAGATGGCCTTAGTTGCTGCTAATAGGGTCATCAATGTTGATATTTTAAAGAGAAGTTTGTTAAAAATGGTTTTATTTTATTAATTGAAAAGGAAATGTCTTCGTAGACCAAATTTTAGGGGATATTGTTGTACTAGTACAATACCCGTGTATTACACTACACGGGTGTTTGTTAAAAAAACTATTCTCAAATTTTAAAATTAATGAGAAAAACTGTTTTAAAATTTAAATATTTTTTTACAAAAAATATGTATAAGTATAAATTTTAGAATGACACTTGTTACTTGTGCGACTTATATATGTTAAATATTTCTAACTTATGTCATATAACTATTCTAAACATGAATATATTAATTGATAAATAAATTTATTTCTTAATTAATATTAATAAATAATTTTATTATTATTAAAAATATAAATATAATTTATTTATTTTATAAATACAATATAGATGTCAAATCGAAACTCATCAAAAGATGATTAATTTGTTATATTATATATGTAAAACTGATAAAAAAAATACAAAATTTATTAGTAAAATACATTTACAATTCAATTATTATAATTGAAAATGATAATAAAATACAATTAATACATGTAAAATGACCATAAATAATCAATATATTTATGGATAATCTGGACATAATTATTTTTGGATTGGAAGTAAATTAAAATCTATCCAAGCCAAATAATATAGCATAGAATTTTGCCACATAGGATCCCGAACTATGCAAGTTTGTCACTTATGCTCAACACGTTCGGTAATTATATATAAGAGGAATAATTTCATTTTGACCTTTTTGATGCTCCCTATATCATCCCATAAATTGAAATACTCCAACTGTTCATGAAAATAGTCACATTTCTTACATTTTAATGTACCATTTTATAGTTCCATTTAATTGTTTAGGAAATCTGTATCAGATTTTTAATGGAGATTGTGTAGTTAATATATATAAGTCGTAAGAGTTTTATTATAAATATAAAACTGAAGTATAGATCACGTGATTTTGTATAATTTTTTTTTGACCATGTACTTTAAATAGATTTTTATTAGAGCATCTCCAATGCTCTAATGTTGTTATTAAATAAATTATGACAAATGTCAATCAATTAAATAGAGTGTGAAGCATGTAAGAAAAATGTTAGGTTCACAACTATGAAATTAAAAATCAGCTCCAATGCACAATATAGTCTATCAACAATATTATCTACTTACCAAATATTAAAATTTTAATAAGAAGTAAGAAAATATAATTAAATAATTAAAAAATGGTAAGAATAATTTTCTCTCTTCTCTTAATTGGCTAGCTAGAGTGTGGAGGAGAATGTAGATGAACTACATTCTTCTTTATATTGTGTACATTAATTATGTCCACATCGCCACAACATTTGTGATTACATTATACATTGAAGGATGAAAAATTGTGATATTACTAAATGAGTTGATGTAGCATTGAATTTAACACAACAACATTTGAGCATTGGAGATGCTCTTACATGCGTAAATAAGAAATGAGAATATGGTATGTGAGGGACGAACTAAAAATAAGTAACAGTTGCATGACATCAAAATGAGATTATGTGCTGTAATAGCTTAAATTATGAATGCAGTTATTAGTTAGTCCACACACTCGTTCACAAAATATAAGTTTAGTATTAAACTCGTTTGGTACTTGAAGAGTTAATTAATATTATCACCTGGGATGGACCCTAGGACCATTTTGAGGTCATTTAGTATGGGTATTTCCAAAGGCTCTTCCATGCCACAAACCTTTATCAAAATAACAATAATGATAATAAAGCAAAATAAAATTTAAGCAATGCAATTAAATAATATTGAAGACCAATATTCAATACAACAAACCATATAACAAATTAAGTATAATGCAACACATATAGTAATGAATATAGGCGCGTTCATTGAGTTCAATGGATGAAATGTTTACCTT